GTAGGGGGGAAGGCGCATAGAATATCCTCGTCCACCTTTTTTGTTCTGTCCCGTTCGTCTCAAGATTTTGAACCTTGGAGTACTTTTGGAACCAAAGGGACAGCTCTGGCAAACCGCACACATTTCCTGTGCATACTTACGCGACTTGCTCTTTTTCACTTACGTACACTGGTCCCTCTAGCTCCCATAAATTCTAACAATATTGCTAAGCGCTGCAGGCCGTACTGAGCTTTGTCGACACGCGGTTCCAGGCATCGTTCAACGGATCTAACACTGCAACAGTTCTCCGTGTAGGCCTTTCGTTCTGTCATACGGAGTTTGCTTGCAAAATGTGAACTTTGTCCTAGCGTTGCCACTTCTTTTGGAGTTGACAGTCTCACAAATTTTCCCTGTTCGCCTGGGCGCACCCGTGATTTCGTTGAACCTACTTTCGGGAATCAATAGGGCCGTGAATGTACGTAAATGCGTTCGCACACTGGGCACAACAAATGCGTCTACAGCCTGTGGTGTGTAGAGTGAAGTCGGTATATTGCCGGATATCTCGTTATTGCACGTAGGGCGTTTTTAAAGACTGTTACATAGTAGTTTTCTCCACTCTCTCTCTCTCTCTCTCATATGTTTGCCGCTTTTGGGAAAGTACAGGCTGGTTATTTGGGCCCAAGGCCAACTTCAATTTTTCTTAATTGGAGAGCCGTCATTTTAAGTCGGGTCCTCATAACGACATCCAGGATACTGTATTCCGTTCTTTCTGTAGGAGCAAATGCTCTTCTGTGATGACTGCGACCGCGGTTACCACATGTACTGTCTGACTCCACCGCTTGCTGAGCCTCCTGAGGGGAGCTGGAGCTGCCGCCTCTGTATAGACCACTTCAAGGGTGCGGCTGCCTCTGCCATTACGGACTCGGCCACCACAACGACCGGCGAATGCACCACACCCCTGCAGGAGTCCTCCAATCACAGTACGTCAGCTAGTTCGGGCCTCACCCTGCCAGCAGGCGGTGGCCAGACATCCAACCCAGTCATCACGCAATGACCTCATTGACGAGAGAGACACGGCTACTGCTGACCATGATCGACACGCTCTTCTTACATTCCCTGGGATACTAGTGTACAAAATTCAGCCATTTGTTACCGCTCCTCCCACTTTGCCCAGCCCGTTTGATGATAGAGGAGCCTGTTCCCCTTTGTATGAATCTTGCTTGCAACTATTTCCTATTACCTACTCGAGTTGGCAGTTCCCCTGTGGTGATATTACTGTTACTGTCACTACTACCACTGTCGCTTCTGCGATTCACCCAGTGCCTCTATGCCGTGACTCAGTTGTTACCTTCTCTTCTGGCAGCCTCAGGTGACCGGTTTTTGTGAAACTGTTCCACACCCAAACTTCCACTATTCGACTTTTTGATACTACCCACTAGCCGTACAATCCAGCCGTGTTCACTCGCAGTTCTTACCTCTTTCCCGAACTCGGTTGTTCACTTGCCTCTCTCTCCCCCTTCCCCCGCCCCGATTTTTCTACCTCCACGTTGTTGAGGTTTTTCTTTTTCCGCCTTTTTACGCTATGTATGTAAAAAATTCCCTCAAGTTGTCCTTTCTCCTTCGCGTACATAACCAGTCGCACTGCTTGTGTTGTTTTTTTTCTACAAAATCGATTCTTGTGCTGACCTCATCGCCTTCTGTCCTGGTCTCTGAGTCCACTGCTACGTTATGAGTGCTAACTCGGGGTTTTCGTTCACTTTTGCGTTCTTGTGTATGTGCCGAGCGACATTTGCTTAGAAAAGGCAGCATTGGTTGGTTCATTGCCATCCCACCTTGCTTCTCCTCGATTTCGTAGTGTGACGCCTCCACATGCGTTTATTATCTGCAAGGCATGTTCCTGGGCGCGTAAGTGTCCTGCCCGTCGAGTTTGCGTCCACCTGAAGGTATTGTCTCTTCGAAACGACGCCGTTACAATTTGGCCTATTTCGTCGTCTGTCATATAGGGCGAGTTGTAGTTATTGCGCTCCCACATATTCCACATATATCACTGTAAATCCTCAATTCAGACGAAAAAGTGGTGAGCGAACGTTGCTCTCGGTGCTTAGAGCCCCAGGTGGGAGCTCACATTACCCCGCAGCTAAAGCTTGGTTGAGTTTGCCAGGTCCCAACCCCACGTTTAGCGTCTTCATCTTTGATGATGATGCGCGGTAATGCCATAATCATAGTCAGCTTGGTGGGCAAGATAACATAATCAGGGCTTTATATTGGTTGCGGGAGGAACGCGTCCGTCCCACTCCATGGGGCCGCTGCCTTACCTGCTTCCCCCGATAAAATGCAAGTATAAAGGTCAAATTAGCATCGAATTCAGGCAGACCGATAGCGCACGTAGCTTACGGCTGCCTTTTCGCCGCCTCGGTGTGAAAGTGGTCTCGAGGGCCACCCACGTTTGCTGGATTAGGAACCAAAACCGTGCAGTTCACCTAGACTACTTCACAAGCGTGTGAAAGCAACGGCCACTCTGGGCCTTCTTCACGACACTGACATCCGGAAACTAGAATTCACATACGGCAGCCGGCTCTGGGTAGTAAGAATGACTTTCATCGGCCGTCCTCCTCCCCTCCCCCTTCCTCTTAGATAAATCCGGCCAGATTGAGGCGGTGTGGCAGTTACTTTAAATAGCAAACCGCAGCGACTTGGCTTGCGACGAAAGCCGCGACAAAGCACACCTGTCTGTGCGATTGCCAACCAGTGGATCGTAGTGGCGAATTGCCGCCACTTTTCATGGTCTTGATCTCGCGTATCGAGGAATCTGACCCACCAGTTCCTGTGAGAATTGACGCATGTCCGCAACACACGGAAGACCAAGTTTGCTTTACAAATTAGCGGGGTGGTAGTAAAAAGACAGTTGCAACCGTATGTGCGTTTGCCTCAGGCCATGCTGTTTGATTCGGTCACCATCGATCCGCCCAACATTACACCATGTCGTTAAAGTAATGCATCGGTTAACACGTTCATGAGGAGCACAGCCGACAGAACAAAATCAATTAGGCTGGATGCAGTATGGATCACGACACCATCCTCGTGCCTAGACAGCCATCCCGAGAAAATATGCTTGTCTTATTCTGACTTTTCCGAGACGAGCTAACTTTCGTAGACGGGGGTGGCTGTTATCCCGTGCCATTGATTGCAGGGCGACCTCTACAGTTCGCGTTGTGGGAGGGGTGTCATAAAGCCTGCGGTCATACTGATTAGTCGGGGGTCGATGGTTGGGCCGTGGTGCTACACGATCACGTCTGCATAACTCTTAGTTGCCGCCTCGAGATCTTTTATCTCTTCCACACCACTCGATCGTTCTCACTTTCGCCCGCACGAACGGCTGCCGGTAAACCGGTACTGACTTGAGCGTTTCCGCTCTGGACGCGTTCTCATCCGTCCACGTTCGTGTCTGCCTCCGGTTCTGTGCTTAGTTTCGCGTTTGGCCTTGGTTCTCGTTCATGATTCTGTTAGATGAGCTGCACATGGTGGTGCGGTAAACTGTAGGAAGAGCTACGCACCGGCTGATGGGAGTTTTCTCTATGTGACAGACCTCGAATGTTTACCCACTCATACAGTCCTCATTACGCAGCAGCAAGGACGTCTATCTTGTGCGCACTGCAGGGTGGGCGCAGGGCGGTGAATTGCATGTGAATTAGTTTATTGTGAGGCAGACTTTGGCAGCATCTACCGCACTCTCTCCTCCCACACTCAGTAGCAAAACGGACTCTGTAGAGAATCACGGCATCTTTATATTTTATAATCGAAGAAGGAGTATAATTAGGTTTTAAAAAAGTTTTTAATTATGAGATTTTTTAAGGCCGCCAATGTACATTCACATAGCATCGTACCTGGCCGTTTGCTACAGCCCCTCATGAACTGTACAACATAGTCAGCATCCATTGCAAAATTTTGTGGACTCAGTGTGATATCTTTTTAAAGGGATAGAAAAATATGTGATTTTCTTTACGCGGAAGGCATGCACCTTATATTCTGAGACCACTAAGCGTTAATGTAACGACTGATCAGGCTCCAAGTTATTCGGCAAGTAGAAAACTGTTTTAGAACTTAATTATACTCTTTATTCGAGTATAAGATATGAAGAAGACGTGATTCTCTACCAAACGACTGAAAGAAAGCCGGCTTTGTTTATGGTTTCTATAAGGTATATTTGAATGTGCAAGACCATTGAAAATCCACGAGAAAAATCCATACTACATAAGTAGTCCTTTTTTACCTTGCACGGTTTCTACAGAAGATTGAAAAGCAGTGTATTCAAATGCTGACATCCTACCGAGTCCGAAATATTGTATAATTATGCCGCAAGATAATCAGTATTACAATCGCGCCTAAGTAGTCCTTCCTAATCGAGAACGCATTTCAGAATTTCAGCCAACATTTCATGAGATCGGTCACTCACTGTAGGGTGAGACGGAGCCATGCACTTAGACTGAACTAACACCCTTCAAAGGTCGGGTAAGCATTCAGTCATCGACTGAAAGGCACTATATATATGCACACACACTTCTCACATGAAGGAGAGTGCCAGAGTTCACGTTAATGCGCCGTTGTAGCCTGACTCTCAGCCCATCAGTCCGTCAATCCACACAGACATACACAACTGGGCAGAATATGTGAAATGAGGTGAGACGTGAATTGGCAACCTTCCGAGCTACGGCGCTTGACTCATCATGATAGTCTCAGGCCCGTATCACAGATGCAGCAGGGAAGCCAACTGAGTGCTGGCCTTGTGTGGCGGTGCGTGATGTTGATGTGTGGTGCAGGTGCTGATGGGAGGGGAGGGGATGTAATTGTGTGGTATAGTCGGCAGTGGTCTGCCGCAGATTTCCATGAATGCACATATAACCTAATAGGGCCATGTGGTGGCTGAACGTGCGGGGGCAGTGAGCACAGTTGAGGCTGATGGGGTGAGTGTGTTCAGGTGCTCCAGGCATTGATTCGCCAGCCTCTGTGCTATGAATTCGCAATCAACCGACCAGACCAGTGTGTGAGGTGAATGTATGTGGACATTGTGGGCAGGATAGAACGGGAGCGTCAGAGGCGGTTTCAGCGATGATGGCGTTGGTGTTGGTGGTGGCGGCGGTGGTGGTGGTGGTGGTGGTGGTGGTGGTGGTGGTGGTGGTGGTGGTGGTGGTGATGGTGTAGTTGCAGGCGGTAAGCGCGGTGAACGATGGGGTGCTGATTGGGGTAGCCATGGTGGGTGGGCAAGGTGTGTTATATGTGCCGATACTGCGGTAATCTTTGCTGTCGTGGATTTTTATGTGATCTAGTAGGCCCATGCGGTGAGTAAAGGTATGGGGACAGTGTGGACAGTGGAGGCGGATGAGACGAATGTAGGTTAGCGTTCCAGGCACTGGTTTACCAGTCTGTGCGCGATGGATTCTAAAGTGACCGACCAGGTTGGTGTGTGAGGTGAATGTGCGATCGCAATCAGGACGGCTTGTTACCGACTCCGCATCACTGGAATTTGCAGTGGTGGGGTTAATGCTGGACGATGCGTCATGATGGTTTGCACTGATGGTAGGGGCAGGTGCCGTCGCAACAGATGATTCTGGAGGTTAGCAACGGGGGTCAAGAACACCATTAGGATGGATTATGGACATAGGTGCCGGGCAGAGGTGGACGGGAGGCATCAGTTAGCGTCGTCCGACTGGTGCAGTTGGTCCGCAGATGCCCAGTAGGGTCGACTGGTGTCCGGAACCACCGTTAAAATCGTGGGCTTGTTGGGGGCGGTTGAGTGTCGGCGTTGAAAGGTGGACGCAGATGGGTTTTCAATCTTCGCGTTTGGCCTTAGCGGTGGTAATGCAGGTGGCTACTTAGATTGCTGCACCGGTCTCCACTGCTCTCCATCACGTTGCCAGGTTCCAGGCGAGGTCTGCCCGGTTGGCCGGGTTAATCTGCAGACGCTTCGAGGAGGTCCTCCGAGTATCCTTGTAGCACCGGACTTGACCTCATTATTGGCGGGACTCTTTGGAGACACCTCCATAAAAGGGTCCTTTGGGTTGTCGCTCGTCCTCCACGCGCACGAGATGGTGACTACAGCGCAGTTGCAGATGTCTCAGCGTGGCGTAGATGCTGAGGACTCCAGTTCTATCCAGTACTTCCCTATTCGTGGTCCGGTCCTGCCACTCCAGGTTCAATATCCGTCGAAGACAGTTAAGGTGGAAGTGGTTGAGACTTCGTGCCTGCTTCTTGTACATCGTCCAGGTCTCTGCTCCATACAGCGGCGTCGGCAGGATAACCGCTTTGTACATCTCCAGTTTGGGGCTGATGTGGAGGCCGTGTGAACAACAGATGGTGTTCTGCAGGCGACCGAAGACTTGGCTAGCCTTGGAGATCAGGGGACATCTCGTCGTCGGTTTTGGCGTTGTAAGAGAAAGGGTGCTGCCCAGTTAGCTGGAGGTGTCCATGGCTTGCAGCTGGGCGTCGTTCGCATTGATTTGAGGTGCGTTTTAGGCAGCGTTGGGTGACAGCTGATGCATGAACACTGACTTCTCCGTGTTGATGATCGGACCGCAGTTGTCGCAGGCGGTGGCGAAGAGGTCCATGTCCCTTTACACGTCCACATTTGTGACAGCGCACTCGTCGACGAGGAGGAGTTTGTGGACGGTAGTTGTGGATACTGGCTACAGGAAGTGCATCCACCGACTTTTGAGAAGTTGGCCGTCCATCCTGTTGGCGACCTGGATCCTGGGGAGGGGGGGGCGTTCGTCATGACAGGTGTTCATTAACATGACAGAGAACATAAGACTGAAGAGGGTGGGTGCGATGACGCAGACCTGCTTCATTCCGTTGGTCACTGTGAATGCCTCTGAGACAATTCTATTGACCGTGACTTGCGTCATCATGCTATCATGGAGCTGCCACATCATCTGACTGAATCGTCCGGGATAGCCAAATTTCTGCATGATTCCCCACAATCCTCCGCAGTCCACCCTGTCAAAGGCTTTCCTCAGCCCCACGCAGGCATAGCATAGGTGGATGTGTACCCCCTGGCACTTCTCCTGAAGCTGGCGCGCAGCACGATGACGGCGGAAGCCGCGCTGACTTTGCGGTAAGAGATCCTTTTCCAGATGTTTGTTGAGACGGTTGATGGGAGTGCGAGCGAAGATTTTTCCGCCGATGTTGAGCAGCGGGATTGCTCTGTGGAGAAGGAGACCATTGTCGTTGTAGACGGCGATTTCGTGAGGACCCAACACTCCCCTCCACACAGCACGGTCTGTCTCGATGCGGCCATCGAATTCACCAAGAACAAACAACTTGTCTACCTTCGGCACAGGCGCAAAGAGAAAATGCATGTCTTCGTAGAACTTGACCTTCGCGTCATAAGGGCCGGCCAATGGTCGATTGTAGGCCTTGATGATAGCAGAGGATTGGGATCTGCGAAAATATAGACGCAGGCTCATTAAGCGATCGTTGATGCCCTGCGGCAGACGGGGCAGTCCTACGATGTGGTTCCAGATGGTAAAGGCAACACTCGCGTCTCGTCGCTCTGCATTGAGGAGGCCGCTTCAGAAGAAGGTGTAGCTGACGCCCACCTCCTCCAGTTGGCCTTGTTTGGAGAATCGGATCTCGCTGTGTGAAGCGATGTCAACCTTGTAGCGTGTCAGTTCTCGAGCTACTAACACCTTCATCCCTTCCGGTTAGTTGTTCCTTGGATTATCTAGAAGGAGTCGAGCATTCCGGGCTGCCATACTGAACTGACTCACATTAGTGGCCTGTGGGGTGGAGCGGAGGGGAGGGCGAGGGAGAAGAGGGAGGTTTTTGTCTCTTGTTTGATTGTTTTGACCGCACGTATTGCAGCCTACGAGCCAATGTTTGTGCGCAGATGTCGTGATCCCAGCGTTTGTTTAGGACACCTTTTCCAGCCCCCTCCTCTGCGAGGGGGTAAGCAGTACTGCCACCACATAGGGCTGCTATGTCGATCCAGACGTCTGCTGAACTCCACTGTGGGTCACGGATTGAGCTAATGAGAGAACGACCCGACTGGCCTGTGCCGCCTACGTGTTTGTACGTCGCCCTCGTCGTAGGACTGCGACCGTAGGGGAAGACAGTAAAGTAGATAAAGTAGGTTGCAGATTGGGAGGAGGGGGGACGAGAAAGGGGATGGGGGGATGTGGGGGTTGAAAAAGGAAGCAGCATTACCGGGTTTGGGGACACACGACGCCGAGTGCGCTCAACCTCGCTTAGCCCGCCGGTCGACACGGATACTGGGCTGTGGCCTTTAGTCTGAGCCACAGTTTAGAGTTGGGGGCCAGTTAATGGACGTTGGGCGTAGTCACCACCTTCAAGCAAGTGAGCGACCTACTAGAACCACCACGTGTATACCCAGAACCGAAATCACTTGCATTTGGCATTCTAACCAGGCTAATCTCAGCCGAAGCGAATGCGCCCAAACTTTGTTCGGCTGCGGCCAACTGGAGAAGACAGAAATAGCGATCGGCGTCGCAAGGTGGAGGCCTAGTCACGCGTGCTCGGCGGACCGAAGGCGACGTGGATCAGCGGCGGTGCTGACGACCGGAAGAGCAGATAGCTAATATCTCCTCTGGTCGGCTTCGTAGACTATCTTTATTTCCACTCCATACACTCGCGTTATTGAGATGACGGTTCTGTGCCTCCTCAGTTTTGTGCTGACGTAAGGGCCGCGACGCTTCCCAAACTAAGTCCCGCAGCCGACTGAATGCCTGGCGCTTTTGGAGATCTGATTTCCGACTTCGCCGTTGACCTTGGTATTTCTTGAAATTGTGCTTCCTAAGTTGGTTAATTTGTCGACGTACGCCAGGTGAGTTTCCTTCATAGTGATTCTGCGCACTCGGCATTCATTTATTGGCGCTGGATGACCAGTTACCACAGTTTTCCGCGTGTTGATAGTTAGGCCGGAGTTTGCGCAGTCGGAGGCAGAGAAGTCGATGCTCCTTTTCATGTCTGCCTCCGTCATGGCGAACAATAGATTGCGGGTGCTGGTCTTGGATATTCTTGTAGTTTCCTGCATACACAGGATGTTTAGCAGCCGTCCGTCAGTTCTGTAGGCAATGATGACTTCCGGTCACTCCTCACGGTGTGCATCCATCAACAGAGTAGACAACATGAGACTGATGAGAGTTGGAACGAGCAAACAATCCTACTTCACCCCTTGCTACGGCGAATGCTTCCGTGACTGCTCAGGTTTCCATGGCACGAAAAATCATCCTATCATTAAGACGCACCATTTTAAAGTGTTCCGGACATCCAAATTTCGGCATTAGTTTCCAGAGTCTATCACGGTTGACTGCGCCCACGGCCTACTTTTTCGCGATGAATGCGCGCTCAGCGCAACGTTACCTGACCAACAAAAGTCACGTTCCGGGCGCTTAAAAAGAATCTCTTGCCATAGAAATTTACGAAATTATTAACGTACCATTCATAACTATAGTCCACGTAGGAAGACGCGCACAGAGGGCGCTAGGGGACAGACTGGAGAACCGAAACCCTCGCGTTTGCGTTATGCCGCCGTAGAATCGTCAGTGTAACAAGCGTCCGGAATTAGTGCTATCTATTTTGGATGTCTGATTAAGGCACTGCCAGAAAGCATCATCCTGCTATTAGCATTACTTGCTTCTAGAGAGCGCATTACGCGGATATTCCGCAGAAGTTGGTTGTCTTCGACTCAGTTGTCCATTAAAATTCAGGAACCGACGAAACGAACGAGTGTCGCTGGCATCTAAATCAAATTCTGTCCATCATACAGTTGCAAAATAATTAACCTAACATTCAAATCTGGATCTGCACATAAAACGTTGGAACTCGTCCGAGCATCCAAAGACGTCGCATTTGGGTCGCGCGGCGGCAGTGACGCCGACGATACTCATTTCTGGGCTTTCAGCTAGCACGCATGTTGGGATGACGGTGGCACAGCCGTCATAAACTGTTATACTCTTTGTAGTGCCACTTGTCTAAAGAGTGCGCATCACGCAGGTATTCGCAGAAGTTGACTGCCTCCGACTCAAATGTTAATTACAAATTCAGGGATGACCAGCATAGAACATGTCCCCGCCACTTAACCACATGCCCTTCCCTCAAACGTTTTCGGAATTATTTATATAACACTCAAGTCTGAAGTTCATATGACAGGAACCGCTGACCGAGGAACCAAAGCCATCGCAGTTGCGTCGTTCATCATCATCAGAAACGTAGGTGGCACACATTTATGAGCTTCGAGACAGTGTCGGTTTTGGGAAGTAATTTGGAACTGATGTCATTTTTCTCCCCAACCACCTTTTTTTCCATGTACATAGCTATTTTGGTTCATATTAGCTAGCTGCATTCAGAATTCTTTTTGCTAAAGTCTGAACAGTTTTTCTCATATTATAGTAAGACTTCTGTACACGTCATTCTTCCGATTTGCATGTATATCTGGGAGTTGGAATTTCAAGCAACATCCGTGTCGGATTTCAACTACATTCCAGGAAATCTAGAGTAAAAACTAGTCCGAAACATTTCAGTTTAAGGTTTTTGACGGAAAAAATGTATAATCTGCTTTGCGCAGTCCTGACATTCTCTTAACGTTGGGGAGAATATGTGCTGGTAATTTCTGCACATTTCCGGGTATTAAGTTTGATTTCTAAAAGGGGGTCGATTGATAACTGTCATTGTACGCCAAAAGGTTTATGAATCACTTCACACATCAGGTTATCGCAAAAAGACATGCTCAGAGATCATCTTATAACACGATAGCAATCTACCTGCCTCTCAAAAACAGAATTCAATCTTCCGTCTGCTAATTTAAGCCAAGACTGGGCCGAAGTCTACAAACATGGGACCCCCGACTGATGTACAACGATATTCCAGGAGATGTGGCTTCAAGGACAAATTCCCCAGGACTTCAAGGACGCGACCACCCCTCATCTCTGTAAGCGGAAAGGTAACCAGCAACTCCGTGACAATCATAGAGGAATATTGGGTAAGATCGCATTTTGTAGTCAGACACTGTGAGTCGATACTGTCGACGTACTTACTTGTAATCAGCAAGTTTGTTTCCCTTAACGAGGAAACGTGTTATCAGTAGGTGTGTTTCTACTGAGTTAGGCAGGTCGCCTGTTTCGGTCAGATTGTTGGGCTTAGTGAGGGTTAGGGTTAGGCTTAGGATTAAGTTTTGGGGTTAGGGTTTGCGTTCTTGGGTTAGAGTTTTAGCGTTAGGTTTTAGTGTTAAGGTTAGAGTTAGGTTTTAGGGTTAAGGTTAGGGTTCATGGTTAAGCTTGTGGTTACGTTTAATGGTTACTGTTAGGGTGAGGCTTTGGGATTAGGGTTAGGATTTTTGTGTTAGGTTTATGTTTCCGGTCAAGTTTAGAGTTCGGGTTGAGGGTTAAGTTTAGGGTTAGGTTTTAGGGTTAGGGCAAGGTTTTAAGATTAAGGTTAGGGTTTAGGGTTAAGGCTAGGTTTAGGTTTAATGGTTAATTTTAGGGTTTGGTATTAGGGTTAGGATTTTTCGGTTAGGGTTACGTTTTAGGGCTAAATTTAGGGTTAGGGTTAGGTTTTAGGTTTATGGTTAGGGTTTCGGTTTAAGGTTAGATTTAGGTTTAATGGTTAATGTTAGGGTTTGGTATTAGGGTTAGGATTTTTGGGTTAGGGTTACGTTTTAGGGTTAAATTTAGGGTTAGGGTTAGGTTTTAGGATTATGGTTAGGGTTTCGGTTTAAGGTTAGAGTTAGGTTTAATGGTTAATGTTAGGGTTTGGTATTAGGATTAGGATTTTTGGGTTAGGGTTATATTTGAGGGTTAAATTTAGGGTTAGGGTTAGGTTTAGGGTTAAGGTTAGGTTTTAGGGTTAAGGTTAGGGTTAGGTTTTAGCGTTGGCGTTTTGCTTAAGACTGTAGGGTTAGAGTTAGCATTCTAGTGTTAGGCTAGGTTCCCCATTCCGGGCTACCAACTGCGATCTGACCGAATCCTTGCTGCTCAACACCGGTGAGAGTCTCTTCACTCGCGTTATTGTCATTCGTCCCACCTGCCAGCTGGAGCGCGATCTTCTCCCGGAAAGTCAGTAGGCTTCAGATGACACTGAGGAGCCACCGACATTAACTTTGTCGCCTGTAAACTACAAGAGAAGTATCAGGAACTTCATACCAAATTCTACACTACATCCTTGGTGCTGATGAGAGCACGGTAAATCGCGATGCACCTTGAACAAACCATGTAAAACTTTGGATATTCTAATCGATTCACGCACATGGTTCGTCAGCTCCACGGTGGAATGATGGCGCACGTCACGGGCAGCGGGACAGTCTCAAAAGCATTAACAGTGACAAATTGAATGAAGCAGGTCTATATTCTGGCTCCCAACCTCTTCATTTTCATGCTCTCTGTCATGCTACTGGTCGCCTACCGTGATGAGCGCCCTGGGATCAGCACCGCCTACAGGACCGAGGCCAGCTTCTCAACGCACGTCGACCGCAAGCGTCTACGCGGACTTCGACTACCGGTGGTCATGCACAACTCTCCGCGGACAACTGTGCACTCAATGCCACGACGGAAGCAGCCGTGCAACGAAGCGTGCGGCTCTTCGCCCCCGGTTGCGCGAACTTCGGACTGACCTCCAAACACGGATAAAACCGTGGTCATGCACCAATCAGAATCAAGGAAGGGACACGCCGCGCACAGTATCAACGTAGATGGGATACGACTCTCATTCATAGATAAGTTCGCCTACCTAGGCCGTATCCTCTCCAAGAACATCAGTGAAGTCGCCCATCGTATCTTCAAAGCTAGCCAGGCTTTCTGGCGGCTACGGGTCTACGCCTGGAACCACGACGGACTTCGACACAACACGAGACTCAAAATGTTCAGGATGGTAGTCCTGACAACGCTACTATACGGGACGGAGACATGAGCTATATGTGCCAATTACATTTGAAAACTCGATCACTTCCACCTCGGCTTTCTCTGGAGAATACTGAAGCTGAGGTGGCAAGACTGGATCCCAGATAGGCAGTTCTTGGAACCGACTGGATTCCTCAGCACCTGCGCCGTGGTGAGGCAACTGACACTGTGATAGAGCGGCCACCTCGTGAGAGAGAACGACGAGTGCCCACCCAAGTCACTTTTCTACGATGAAATCGCTACGGCTGCTTGTCAACAACGCCGACAATGACATCGGAGACAGCCCGAAGTCCTCAGTTCTAATAAAGAGATGGAGCCGTGTTAATTCTCATTCTTTTCTTAAGTACAAAGAGCTGTTGTAGCGAGTTCCCTTAAACTAGATCACTTTGGCACCTGCATTGCTCACATCCGGTGTTTCCCTTGCGTGAAATACTATCTCGAGTAAAGGATCCCCTATATAAAAGCAGAAAACTGGTGTTCTTTATCGCATCTCAAGTTTCATTCGGTCTTGCGCTTAAGTTGGCTATATGGGTTGACGATTTGGGACCGTCATCAACTCATAATATATGGCTGTCCATCGATGCGACACATCGTCTCCCGTGTTTGCGCACGTCCCTGATTGTCACTACTGCTGTACTTGGGACAGGACTGACGTGATCGCACGGTCAGCACAAAACTGGCGGGTATAGCTCACTGAGTCTTTACGCCCACACTAATAACAACCGCTGCTAATCTAAATCTGGCAACGTACCCTTTCATTGATTCGCAGTCTCTGCCAACGACAGGACAAACATACTCAAAAACAAGGGAGTTGTAATGGACATTTCTGACTTATCAGCCGTCGTCGGTCAGTCATACCCAATCCCGAAGTGTAGAACACACAGGGGTCGATCTAGCAACCTGTTGGTTAGAAGTCCAACGCCATTAACCACAGAGCCAGGGGCTCGTTGTCCTGTCGGTTGCGATCGGGAATATACAATGGTAGAGGGACGACGGCTAATGAGCCAGAAATGGCCATTCCAGTCCCCCTTGTTTTTACCGGTAATACCATTCTGCTTATATCACGCACCGCTGTGCGGCTGCTGGTTGTGCTCGAGAGAGAGAGCTCTAACGCACAACGGGACGAGTGAGTTCGGTAAAAACGATCGGTGAGCGCCCCATAACCGAAAACCCTAACTCCTTCCCCACCCCCAACCTCAACTCCGGCACGCATTAGCGACACGCTGTTTTTACCACCTCTCACAGAGGTCTGCCTCTTGATGAAACCGTTGTGTTGCCGAACGTTCTAATGCGATGGCCCCGCTTTTCTTTGTTGCAATTTGTTTTGTGAAACCTTCGTGCAACCGAGTCGAAAGTTCATGATCTAGGTTTGGTTTCTCCGGTGAACCGCTCCTTTTGCTATACGCGTATATGGGGTTGTCACCAACGAGGGCAAAAGAGACTACCGTGACCTTTTGTGACACGAGTAGTGGTTGACCTCGACTATTTCCATGGCTTACTTATCGTACCTCAATCCTAATCTCCTTAATCCAATACAGATTTCGTGCTTTGCGAAGACTTCTGGGTTGTTATGACATTGGCAGAGCTGAAAAAATGACCTCACTCCTGGACGCAACGGAGACCAATTTGAAGTCACGTGGGAGCAGTGTTCACTATTTTAGCCCTGCTGTGTTGGAGCTCCGTTCTAGAGCCTGTGACTCTCAAGCAGCGGCTGTACTCAGAGCGTCACAACCATCAGGCTAAGTGCCGGGTGTCAAGATGAGTCAGATGTCAGTAGAACAAAAAAGGGGTTTCATCATGCACGGAAACCCGATTCACTACCGCGGACGGCGGTGGCCATTGACGACGCCAAGGTCTGTGATCACGGTGTCAAGTCAGACCGAAGAGAGAGAGAGAGAGAGAGAGGAGGGAGGGACGCGGTGGGCAACCGCCTTTTCGAGTCTGTGGGAACGAGTCTAGGGGTTCTGTGTTCAGTTGGTGTGCATAGCATTAGCCGAGTGGTGGCTTACACAAGTTGGTAGCATAGACGGTTGTGGCCGTCTAGATGCATACGTGTGGGCAAGCTGCAGTCGGCCAGACTGTGAGGTCAGCGCGTCTGGAACCACTGGCTTGAAGGTGAACGAAGTTTACACACGGCCACCACGGGTCGTAATGGTGGCAGCGGGCTAAAAGCTCTTGATAGCCGACATACCGGTGGGAAACGTAGGATAGGCATAAGACATGGTAGAAAGTAGCCAGTGCACTGTTCTACCGTTCGTATACAGACCCCGAAGCATTTTTTCGCAGAAATATTATGGCCTCTGACCTACATCGCAGTTTGTAGCCAGGCATTGTGAGTCGATACTGTCGACGTACTTACTTGTAATCAGCAAGTGTGTTTCCCTTCTCGAGGAAACTTGTTATCAATAGGTGTGTTTCTACTGATCTAGGCAAGTCGCCTGTTTCGGTCAGGTTGTTGGGCTTAGTGAGGGTTAGGGTTAGAGTTTGTGTTTTGGGTTAGGGTTAGGGTTGTAGGGTTAGATTTTAGTGTTAAGGTTAGAGTTAGGTTTTAGGGTTAAGGTTAGGGTTAGATTTAATGGTTAATGTTAGGGTTGGGATTTTTGGGTTAGGTTTATGTTTCAGGGTAAAGTTTAGGGTTAGAGTTAGGGTTATGTTTTAGAGTTGAGGTCAGGTTTTAGGGTTAAGGTTAGGGCTAGGTTTAAGGGTTAAGGTTAGTGCCCGGGTTTAAGGTTAGGTTTAGGATTTTTGCGTTAGATTTAGGGCTTCAGGGTTAAGTTTAGGGTTAAGTTTAGGACTTTAGGGTTGACGTTAGGGTTAGGTTTCAGTGTTAGGGTTATGCTTTAGGATTTGGATTTTACTGTTAGGTTTTAGGGTTAAGGTTCGGGTTAGGTTTTAGGGTTGGTATTTTTGTTAGGGCTTTACGGTTAGAATTAGGTTTTTGCTGTTAGTTTAGATTCCCTATTCCGGGCTACCAACTGCGATCTGACCTTCGATAAATGTAAACCGGATATCCGGTGCAAAGGGGATACTCGTATTCCCTGTTGTATTGTAGGTGGACCATGGGAATCCCTTCTCACTTGACTGCATATTTGCAGTTGTAGTCAACAGGGTTTGAGTCCGTGTCTCAGATGGTAGACCTCCTTACTGGTGGACCAGCTGGACCTTGGGTTGGGTTGTGGCTGACTGACGGTAACAGATAAGTTAAACACAATCGGACTGCTGTTCTTCTTCTCAGTATTTTTTGGTAAACCTTCTTGGATATGAATAGCGCTGATTAGAGTTAATATCTCAAGGACGACATCACACTGCCGGAAAAAACGCTCTGTCAGTACTCATGATGGCCCTTCCATGTCATTAATTAGGATCGAATTTTAACCAGACTTCGCCGCCTATTTTCCACATGTGCAAATGAAGTTAGGTCGCCGTTGTCAGTATTATGCTGTCATTATGCACACAGTCGAAGTATTTTTTCAATTTAGCGAACGTTATTTTTTGATAAAACTGAACCTGCCTAAAGTCGGGTTCTCTGCCGTAAAATGTTGTAAGTGTCAAATCACAGCGCTTCTGCTCGTTTAGTTTGATTAGGAAAAATGTTAACTCGGGAAATTACCCCTTTGCTGGTAAATGTAGGCATATTTTAAAATGCGACCTTTATGCTGTTTAGGTTCATTTCTAACTGAAATACACATTTGCCGAAGGAGTGTTGGCTAGTCAGCTACTCACCAAATTAAAGCACGACAATGACCGACCGTTTTTCGCTCTTTGATGATATACGGCATAAAGATAATTAGCAGGAGGGACCGTCCTGGAGAAGCCATGAGTAAGATTACATACTCCTCATCGTCATCCTACAATCGACTGCTTTTGTCCGATCACGAGCAAAAATATTCACCTGGAAGGACACGACTGAGTCGTCAGGCACGCAATTTGATTGGTCCGCAAATAAAAAAATAAGTTTTTTGATGGTAAACATGTTAATTTAAAAATGACTGTATCAGTCCATATCAGGTAATCGTGTAAGACTGCGTGCTGACAAAGATATTGTCTCTGTTTACTTGGACCAAAAGAGCTTACTGTCATAACAACAAAAGTGGCAACAACTATAGCAGACCAGTGGACCTCTCCAACCCTACAAGAGCGTCGCCAGTTGGCGAACGACTTCTGACAGCTGCTCAGCGGCCCTTGACCTCAGCAAGCCCTCCCTGGGATCCGTGGTTTGAAGCACACGACGCAGAAGAAACTGTATCCTTTCCTCCGGACCACTGTACTTCTTGGCACTCAGTACCGGCGCTGCCGTTGGCTCCCTAATCAGAAAGGCCTTCAACTCTTTCCCCCCCGCCAGGCTCACACAGATGACTCGACCTACACCACCAAAATTTACTTCAGGAAGGCAGCTATCCTCCGGATTGGTAACAGTAAGTGGTGCCTTGATTATTGGCTGTAAAGATGCGATACCGACGAGGGGGTAGTCAAGGGAATCGTCATTCTTAATAACCACAAGAAATGCTTCGCCATTGTCTCTACAGCTTACAGCCGCTATGTAGGCGCGGTCTGTGGATATTTTAGCACGCCACCGAACTTCTTGCTCATCCTTTAGACCAGGAATCACTGGCAGTACCAGCTGGTGAATAACCTCGCCTTTGACAGCATTGATTAGATTCATGTTACTGTCGATGGCCATAGTACCGTCATCGCTCAAATCACACAACTGAC